TTGCTCTTGTTACCCAGGCTGGAGTGCAGTGGCATGATCTCAGCTCACCGCAACCTCCGCCTCCTGGATTCAAGCAATTCTCCTGCCTCAGCCTCCCAAGTAGCTGGGACTACAGGTGCACGCCACCGTGCCCAGCTAATTTTTGTATTTTTAGTAGAGACGGGGTTTCACTATGTTGACCAGGATGGTCTCGATCTCTTGACCTCGTGATCCACCCGCCTCGGCCTCCCAAAGTGCTGGGATTATAGGCTTGAGCCACTGTGCCCGGTGGGCATTGAAACAGGGCCACAGCTGCTTCTTGGTAATCAGAGATAATTGTCTGCAGTAAAACGGGGTGTAACTGCATGGCCGGGGGCTCACTTATGATTCTGAGCCCTGTGCATGTTGTGGTCATCTCATGCACATCTCCCCCAGGTAAGTGGTTGGTGGTCCTGGACGGCAGGATCCACATCTTTGTCTTTTCACTCTGGTCCCTTAAAAAGTGGGAAATAGGTCAGCAGCAGTGGGTTGGACTGGCTTCTTTTTGAGAGTGGGAGGAGGGAGGACAGAGAAAGCCAGGACGTGTTACAGGTTCAAAGTCCAGGGGGAAAGCAAGCAGGGCCAGCTCCCCAGGCGGCCCCTGTGCTTAATAAGTGTCTTCTGCATGAAGAAAGGTGAGAGGGGCTGCCTTTCCTGCAAGTGTGCCACACCCTGCCACACTTGGTGTTTCTCTGTGTTTTGACTCCCTCCCAGCCATGCTCCCTTTTTGGCCATATCAGCTCTTAAAGTTAGTTGACAGCAAAAATGACGGTGAGGAGATTGCTTGGCACCTGTTAGAGATAAATGAGCTAAGTCTGTGGTCTCTTTTGCACACTGCTACCCACAGGGATGCCAGAAGGGCCGTTGGTGAGGAAATTTCACCATTTGGTCTCCCCCTTTGTGGGCCAGCAGGTGGTCAAGACAGGGGGCAGCAGCAGGAAGCTAGAGCCCGCCAGCGTGCAGTCTCTGTGGCTCCAGGATGCCCAGGTGAGCCTATCCTTCGCTGAAGGTAATGATGCAATTACCTCCCACCAGGTCCATCCCACAAGACATGGGAATCATGGGAATTATAATTCAAGATGAGATTTGGGGACACAACCAAACTATATTGTTTTACTGCCAACCTCTCCCAAAGCTCATATCCTCACATTTCAAAACTAACCATGCCTTCTCATCAGTCCCCCACAGTCTTAATTCATTTTAGCATTGACTTAAAAGTTCACACAGTCCAAAGTCTGATCTGTGACAGATCACAGGCAAATTCCATCCACCTATGAGCCTGTAAAATCAAAAGCAAGTGAGTTACTTCCTAGGTACAGTGGGGGCACAGGCATTGAGTAAATAAATACACCTGTTCCAAATGGGAGCTATTGGCTGAAATGAAGGGGCTGCAGGACCCATGAAAGTCTGAAATCCAGTGGGGCAGTCAAATCTTAAAGCTCCAAAATGATGTTTGACTCCATGTCTTGCTGGGCATGCTGGGCATGCTGATACAAGAGGTGGGCTCCTACAGCCTTAGGCATCTCCACCCCTGTGGCTTTGTAGGGTATAGTCCCTCATCCTGACTGCTTTCAAAGGCTGGCGTTGAGTGTCTTTGGGTTTCCCAGGACATGGTGCAAGCTGTCAGTGGATCTACCATTCTGGGGTCTGGAGGCCAGTGGCCCTTTTCTCACAGTTCTACCAGGCATTGAGACTGTGGGAATGCTGCACCGGGGCTCTCACCCCATGTACTGCCCTGTACTGCCCTGGCAGAGATTCTCAGTGAGGGCTCTGCCCCTGCAGCACACCTCTGCCTGGAAATCCAGTCATTTCCATGCATCCTCAGAAATCTAGGTGGAGGTTTCCATACCTCAGTTCTTTAATGCATCCAAATGCTCAACAACACGTGTAAATCATGAAGGCTTGGGGCTTGTACCCTCTGAAGCAACAGCCTGAGTTATACATTGGCTCCTTTTAGCCGCAACTAAGTCCCTAGGCTGCATACAGCAGGGGGGCCTGGACCTGGCCCAGGAAATCATTTTTTCCTCTGAGGCATCTGGGCCTGTGATGGGAGGGGCTGCTGGAAAGGTCTCTGACATGCCCTGGAGAGATTTTCCTTATGGACTTGGTGATTAGCATTCAGCTCCTAGTTAGGCAAATTTCTACAGCCAGCTTGAGTTTCTCCCTAGAAAATGGGTTGTTCTTTTCTGCTGCATCATCAGGCTACACATTTTTCAGATTTATGCTCTGCTTCCTCTTGAATGCTTTGCCACTTAGAAATTTCTTTCACCAGATACCCTAAATCATGTCTCTCAGGTTCAAAGTTCCACAGATCTCTAGGGCAGGGGACAAATGCCACCAGTCTCTCAGTATAGCAAGAGTCGCCTTTACTCCAGTTCCCAATAAGTTCCTTGTCTCTGTCTGAGACCACCTTAGCGCCTACCTTATTGTCCATATCACTATCAGCATTTTGGTCAGGGCCATTCAACAAGTCTCGGAAGTTACAAACTTTCCCACGCTTTCCCATCTTCTGAGCCCTCCAGACTGCTCCAGCCTCTGCCTGTTACCCAGTTCCAATGTTGCTTCCACATTATCTTTACAGCAGCGCCCCACTCCCGGGGACAGTTTACTGCATTAGCCCATTCTCATCCTGCTGATAAAGGCATAACCAAGACTGGGTAATTTATAAAGGGAAGAGGTTTAATGGACTCACAGTTCCACATGGCTGGGGAGTCCTCACGGTCGTGGTGGAAGGCAAAGGAGAAGCAAAGGCCCATCTTACATGGCGGTAGGCGAGAAAGAGCACGTGCAGGGGAACTGCCCTTTATAAAACCGTCAGATCTCGTGAGACTCACTATCATGGGATCAGCATGGGAAAAACCCACCCCCATGACTCAGTTACCTCCCACTGGGTCCCCCCAACAACAAAGGGGAATTATGGGAGCTAATTCAAGATGAGATTTTGGTGGGCACACAGCCAAACCATATCACACATTTTATGTGCGATGTTCAGGCATCAGTTAATGGACATTCGGATTGTTCCACGTTTTTGACTTCTGTGGATAATGCTGCTGTGGACATTCATGTGCGAGTATTGGCGTGGATGTATGTTTTCATTTCTCTTGGGAATATTTCCTAGGAGTGGAATTGCTGGACCACATACTGTGTTTACCCTTTTGCGTGTCTTCTGTAGTGTTTTCTGAAGCAGCTGTACCATTTTATCATCTCACCAGCAATGTGTGAGGACCAGTCCTTCCATTTTTAACCTCTTACCACAGCACCTGGGACCTCCCTGTCTCCTGCTCCCCTTGGGTCAAGGTGGGTGGGTTCCCTGGGTTCCCGCTTCCTTGGGGCCCCCTTCTGCTGAAGCAGAGGACCCTGCTCTGCCTCATCAGTTACCCTTCCTCTACCCGCTTCTCATTTTCTGTGGGGGGCTTTGTACCTCTGTCTGTTGCTCCTCCTGCTCTTGAGGGTTTAGAGCTCTTTGGTTCTTTTGGCGGGTTTGTTGGGAGCAGTGCTAACAGCACACACCCCAGCTGCTGTGTCTGACCAGGAGCCCCCCTCCCAGTGTGGGGCTTCCACCTGTGCCTTCAGGTCTGTCCCCTCGCTGGGGACACCCTGTCGCCCTGTCTCTTGCCCTCCACTCTTGTGAAGCCCAGCCCGGGTAACGGCCACCTTCTCCTCATGCTGTGGGCTCTTCTTCTGTGTGCAACCTCTGCTTCTACCCACAATTTTCTTTTCTGTTTTTTTGCACAGATGGGCGTCGTACTTTGTTACCCAGGCTGATCTCGAACTCCTGGGCTAAAGCCATCCTCTCATCTCGGCCTCCCAGAGCGCAGGGATTACGGGCATGAGCCACTGTGCCCGGCCCACCCATGCTTTTCTCCGTGCTCTTTGAGAATCTGTTTTCATTCTTGTCCCCCTCTCACTCCTACCACCTTTCTAAATTTTTAAAAAATTGTGATGAAAAACACATAACAAAATGTACTGTCTTCATTATTTTAAAGTATATAGTTCAGTAGTGTTAGCTATATTCATGTTGTCTGACAGTTTGCCTGAACTTTTAATCTCCCCAAGCTGAAACTCCATTCCTGCTGAACACGAGCTCCCCATCCTCCCTCCCCCAAGCCCCTGGCAGCCACTTCTCTATGTTCTGTCCCTGTGAATTTTACTCTCCCAGGTACCTCGTATCAGTAGACGCATACAGTATTTGGAGTTATTTTGACTGGCTTATCTCACTTAGTATGAAGTCTTCAGCGCTCACCCACGTTATAGATATGTCAGAATTCCCTGCCTTTGCCAGGCTGAATGATGGTTTTGCTCATCTGTTCATTCATGGATGGACATTTGGGTTGCTCCCACCTTTTGGCAATTGTACATAGTGTCATCTCCCCTTTTAAATGTGAAATTTTTAAAGGGAAGGTTGGAGATTGTCTTCATCGATTTTTGCTGCTATTTCGGGAGATTTAAGACTGGGTCATTTATAAACAATAGAAGTCTATTTAGCTAATGGTTCTGGAGCCTGGGAGTCCACATGGACTTGGCACCTTGCCATGTCATTTGCAGGTGGCATCATTCCATTCAGGAGGCCCGAGCCCTATGGCCTAATCTCCAAGGTGCCTCTTTCCCACTGTCCCATTGGGGATTAGGTTTCCAGCACATACTCTTTGGGGAACACACTGAAACCATTGCAGAGCCTTGCTCATCCATTTGCCATTGGAGCCTAGTGCACTGCCAGCCACAGTGAATAAGCTGGATTAATGATTAGCAAATTGAAGTGGCTGCAATGTCACAGGAACCTAAAAGAGGAACAGCAGAAATGGCCAGAGTTGGAGAGGACATCCTGACCTAGACATTTTTGACCTAATAAATGTTTTGATCACAATGGGCTTTTGTCTCTTATTTTCATCAGAATTATATCAACATTGGTGAATGTATACCAAGAAGTATTTTCTGCGCAAATTCCATAATGCCCACTTAATTCCTTGCTCAGGTTTCTCATGTAGGGCAGTTAAACCATTTCTAACATGTGGCAGAAAACAATCTGTGCTCAAATTTACAGATAAGCTATTCTGGGATGATTTAGAAAGGTAATGCTCTTCTGAGTGGAGGATTTCCATGAATCTGTATACTAATTAACCAGTTAAAGATCATATCAGAACAGCGATCTTTAAGCACAGATCTATAGTGGTCAAAAAAGCAACACAGACATTTCCAGTATTAATGCCAGATGTTTTGGTTTATGCTCTTTCAAAGACTGCCTGAATTTCAGGCTGTGTAGAACGACTCATCCTGGAATCTGGGCACACACATATTGCATATCAGGAGGTGCAGTATGGAAATAAGCTCAAAGCAAGGGCTGGGTATGTTGGCTCGTGCCACTAATCCCAGCACTTTGGGAGGCCAAGGCAGGCGGATCACTTGAGGTCAGGAGTTTGAGATCAGCCTGGCTAACATGGTGAAACCCTGTCTCTACTAAATATACAAAAATTAGCTGGGTGTGGTGGTGTGCACCTGTAGTCCCAGCTATTTGGGAGGCTGAGACTAGAGAATCCCTTGAACCCAGGAGGTGAAGGTTTCAGTGAGCCAATATGGTACCACTATACTCCAGTCTGGGTGAGACTCCATCTGAAAAATCAAAAAAAAAAAACCTCAAAGCAGTGAGAACATCCTTTAACACATGGTTTCTAGATTTATTTTCTTCTCCTGAAATCGCTTGCAGTGAGATGAGGTGAGTCCTTTGCCTTGTACATTTTACAGTGGTGATTTGAGTCGATCAATTTTTGTTTTGGTATCTAATTTTTGTTAATTATAGCTCGCTTATGAAGCCAAATATGCTGGCAGAGGGATGGTGAGGGCACCGATTTTCACAGTACGTTGTCTTTAGCTGCTCTTCGTGTGTGCACACGTCTGTGCGTTCCCACGCACTGTTTTTATTTCTGGCATAGAAAATGTATCATGAGGCCAGGCGTGGTGGCTCACGCCTATAATCCCAGCACTTTGAGAGGCCGAGGTGGGTGGATCACGAGGTCAGGAGTTCAAGACCAGTCTAGCCGACATAGTGAAACCCTGACTCTACTAAAAATACAAAAAATTAGCCGGTATGGTGGTATGCACCTGTAGTCCCAGCTATTTGAGAGGTTGAGGCAGGAGAATTGCATGAACCCGGGAGGCGGAGGTTGCAGTGAGCCAAAATCGCGCCATTGCACTCCAGGCCGGACAACAGTGTAAGACTCTGTCACAAAAAAGAAAAGAAAATGTATTATGAATGGATCGAAGGAATGACAATTTATGTTCATTTCTTAGGTACTGCATGAAAACACTGGGAGTGATTCCCCTCAGATATTCCAGGTGGCCCTGCCATCTAGCGTGGGTCTGTTTCACTGCCCACTAAGCCTCATGCTTGCTCCCAGTCCCTTTGGAAACCTCCTGTGAACTGCCCACACCACTGGAGCAAAGGAGCAAAAGGCAGAGCCCAAAGACTGCATTTGGGAAGGCTCCACAGATGAGAAGGAAGAAATTTGCCATAGACTAGGTAGCTGCATTCCCCTGTTCCCCTCTGGGTCTATGAGGCTTTGATCTATGTCCATTTTTTTGTAGGTCCATGGAAAGAAATTATTCCTTAGATTTGATCCAGATGAAGAAACGGGGCCACCTGGCAACAGCCCACCACCAGAGCCTCCACAAAAAGATGCGCAGAAGGAAGGGGCTGCAGACCCAAGGCAGGCCCAGGAGCCCTGCGGGCAGAAGACCTCCGATGGATCATCACGGTCCGCAGAGCTGGTCCCCCAGGGAGAGGGTGACTCGCAGTGTTTGGCAGGAGCCGCCCCTGCAGGAGGTGCTGGGAGGTGGCTATGTGTCTGTTTTGGTTTGTTTGGCAGCATTTGGGTGAACGAGTTCTCCAGAGCCAAGAAAGCCAACAAGAGGGGTGACTGGAGGGACCCTGCCCCCAGGTAAGGGTGTGGCCATCTGATTCTCATGGGCTCTGATAGTCATGGGTCCCTGCTTGGCAGGGTTTGGGACTTGGGCAGCGGGGACACACTGAGGACATCCCATCTGCTCCCCAGGACTCTGCCGTCTTGGGGAGAGAGACCACCTCTGTGTCTACCAGTGATAGGAAGTGGACTGTGGTCTGGCCAGGAGAGGGTGGCACAACCAGCGGTGGCTGGGAGAAGGGTAGACCTTTCCCAGCGAATGTGGCACTTGAGGGGGAACGTCCCCGAAGAACATTTCATTGCCTGACTAGTGTGCTTTGAGTTTACGGACAGGATTTCCCAGTTATTTTTTTTTTTAAAGTATATTGCTTGTGTGTGTGTGTTTTATTGAGATATAATTAACATACAGTAGGATGCAGATCTTAAGTGTCCAGTTTGATGAGTTTTTTTGTTTCTTTTTTGAGATAGAGTCTTGCTCTGTTGCCCAGGTTGGAGTGCAGTGGCGCAATCTCGCCCCATTGAAACTTCTGCCTCCCAGATTCAAGCAATTTTCCTGCCTTAGCTTCCTGAGGAGCTGGGGCTATAGGCGCACACCACTACACCGGCTAAGTTTTGTATTTTTAGTAGAGACAGGGTTTCACCATGTTGGCCAGGGTGGTCTCATGGACCAGCCTCAAGTGAATTCTCATGGAACTCATGGCCTCAAGTGATCCACCTGCCTCTGCCTCTCAAAGTGCTCGGAATGCAGGCATGAGCCACCGTGCCCACCCCAGTTTTGAATGTATGAATGTTGAAATCAACATTTTCTGCATAATACTCTATCTAGGATTAGGATTATGTCCTTCATGTCAATTCCCATTGGAGTAATTGCTGGTCAAAGGGAATGCACGTTCTTAGGGCTGCACATTTTTATGGCCTTAGGAAGTGCTAGCTGAGCTGAAATCTCATGAACGTTAAGTCGTTTGTGTACTTCTTATCAATGTATTGAAGCTTTTGGACAGAAAGTCTTTGTCTTTCTGCCGTGTGTTGCCAATATTGTTTCAAGTCTATCCTTTGTCCTTTCACTGTGCTTAGGATGCCTCTTGGCATTTGGGATTTTAAATTTTTATGTCGTCAGTGGTGGGTGTTTTTCCTGGTTGCTCGTAGGTTTCCCTTTTTGCTAAAAAAAGGCCCTTTCTGCCCCCAGGGAAAACCACGTGACTTCTATTTTCTGACGTTTCATAATTTTTAAAAATGTTTAGAACTGTAGTCTGTCTTTTTTTTTTTTTTGAGATGGAGTCTTGTTCTGTCACGAGGCTGGAGTGCAGTGGCGTCATCTCGGCTCCCTGCAACCTCCACCTCCCAGGTTCAAGTGATTCTCCTACCTCAACCTCCCGAGTAACTGGACTACAGGTGCATGCTACCACATCTAGCTAATTTTTGTATTTTTAGTAGAGACGGGTTTTCACCATGTTGGCCAGGATGGTCTCAATCTCTTGACCTCGTGATCTGCCCACCTTGGCTGGGATTACAGACAGGCGTGAGCCACCGCCTGGCCAGAACTGTAGGTAGTCTTTATTTGTGGCACGATGTAAATACCATAGGATGCTATGGGCTATAAAAATAACTCGGAGTAGTGTCTGTGGTCAGGAGATTTGGGGCTCCCATGACCGGAAGTTCAGAAGGAGGGTGGGCTTTGGGATTGCGGTTCCAAGGTTCTGGCTTCATATTCTTAGGATTCTCCTGGCTTTGCGCTTTCCATGCAGTGGTTTTGTCCTTAGCTGAGCAGCAATAGGCTATGGCAGCTCCAAGATTTTATCCACACCAAAAAATCCAGAATGAGAAGGTCACTTGTAGAAGTTCAGATGAGGAAACTTTTCTCAGAACCCCCAGGAAGCCTCTCATCATCAGGAGCCTGCTCTTTGCTGAGTCCTGGGTTAGTCGCCAGTTGGAGGCATTGAAATGCACTCCACGAAGCAGGCTCACGCCTGGGTTTTCAGATATATTGCCACAGAGTGAATGTGTATCATGCCTTTATTTTTAAATCTCTTTTTACCTGGTTATGTCTCTTTTCTCATTTGCATGTTTTGTATTTATTTTGCTTTGTCTCTTTTTTCTTTAATAGGCTGGTCTTTGAAATAAATAATATTAGCTTGCAGGCGTAGTGACTCATGTCTGTAATCCCAGCACTTTGGGAGGCTGAGGCAGGAGGATCACTTGAGCCTAGGAGTAAGAGACCAGCCTGGGCAACATAGTGAGACCCTGTTTCTACTAAAAATAAAAATAAAAAGATTAGCCAGGTGTGGTGGTACATACCTCTAGTCCCAGCTACTTGGGAGGCTGAAGTGGGAGGATAGTTTGAGCCAGAGAGGTTGAGACTGCAATGAGCTGTGATTGTGCCACTACACTCCAGCCTGGGCAACGAGCAACACCCTATCTCAAAAAAAATCTAAATAAATAAATAAAATTATATATCTCTTCTCTATGGAAAGGGTACATGGAGTATTTGGAGAACTGAAAATACTAGGTTGGGTGTGGTTGGCTTACGCCTGTAATCTCAGCCTTTGGGAGGTGGAGGAGGGTTGATCACCTGAGGTCAGGAGTTCAAGACCAGCCTGGCCAACATGAAATACCATCTCTACTAAAAGTACAAAAAATTAGTCAGGTGTGGTGGTGCACACCTGCAATCCTAGCTACTTGGGAGGATGAGACAGGGGAATCACTTGAACCTGGGAGGCACAGGTTGCAGTGAGCTGAGATCGAGCTGCTGCACTCCAGCCTGGGCGACAAGAACAAAATGACATCTCAAAAAGAAAATATTATAAGTAAAAAACGATGCATTTAATATGCCTAGCCTACCAAACATCATGGCATGGCCTAACTTACCTTATTTGTGCTCAGAACAATTACATTAGCCTACAGTTGGCAAATCATCTAACACAAAGCGTGTTTTATAAAATGTTGAATATCTCATATAATTTATTGAGTACTGTACTGAAAGTAAAAGAATGGTTTTATAGGTACTCAGAGTGTGGCTTTTACTGAGTGTGCACTGGTTTTGTACCGTTATAAAGTCAGAAATTAAAAGTGAACCGCTGTAAGTCAGGGCTGTCTGTGTGTATGATCCGACCACAGAGCGTGCTCTCAATGTAGCGTGGTAATGACGTGTACCTAACACCTATTCTTTCTTCCCAGGTTGGTCCTGCACTTCGGTGGTGGCGGCTTCCTAGCATTTTATAATTGTCAGATGTCCTGGAGCTCTTCCCCAGCGGTCACACCCACCTGTGACATCCTGTCTGAGAAGTTCCATCGAGGACAAGCCTTGGAAGCTCTAGGCCAGGCTCAGCCTGTCTGCTATACACTGTTGGACCAGAAACACTTCTCAGGGCTAGGTATGACTGATGGGAAAGGGGTGAGCCCACAGAGTTGCTCAAGGCAAAGTCGTTCCTGTGGGAGTCACAAGACCTGAGACCCGCCCCACTCGTGCCAGTGCTGTTGGCCTTGAGGGGGCCACTTGCTTAATCTTCATTTTACTTCCCTTGTTTTTAAACTGAGGGCATTAGATCAGGCAGTTTTTAACTTCTCTCGGCTTCAGAGTCCACACTCTAATTGTGTTATCAGTTATGAGCCTTCTGCCAGCAACACGGGAGCATCCCCTCCGAAAGGGCAGGGTCATGTCCCTATCCGCTCCGCTGCACAGCAGCGCCTGGCCCACAGGAGGTGGCTGAGCCATGTCGGTGGGGACTGAAGTCGTACAGGCTCTAGCAGAGGAATGAGTGTGTGTTCTACGGGGTGCTGCCATGGGTGGATGGAGCCTCCCCCGGTCAGGGCACAGAGATGACTCAGTCTACATTAGGCTCTTACAGGACACGAGGGAAGGAGCAGTTTTCCTCTCTGTGGCAGTGGCCTGAGCAGGGACGTTGTGTGCATTTCGAGTTATGGAGAAGCGCTGAGTAATCCCAGAACATACATGTAACGGCTAATTAGCTGGACTATGAGAGCGTGCCACTCCTTTTTTTTTTTCCTTTGAGACAGAGTCTTGCTCTGTCACTCAGGCTAGAGCACCTTGGCTCCAGTTGAGGTTGGATTCTCCTGCCTCAGCTCCCTAGTAGCTGGGATTACAGGCATGTGCCACCACGCCCGGATAATTTTGTATTTTTAGTAGAGATGGGGTTTTACCATGTTGGTCAGGCTGGTCTTGAACTCCTGGCCTCGTGATCCACCCTCCTCAGTCTCCCAAAGTGATAGGATTATAGGTGTGAGCCACCATACCCAGCCCTGAGAATGTGCCATTCTTCTTACCCACAGCAGGGGAATAATT